TACGTGTATTGAGTATGATTTAATATTAACTTTAAAAAGATGACCTGATAAACTAGCAAATATAAAAGAGAATACAGTTCTTGGTGAACTGGGTGACTCGTGAATCATTAGGATAATCTCATCCTAACCCAGGCTATTTGTGATACTTCCTAGTATACTGATTAAGAAGAGCTCCAGCTCTGGAGTCAACCTGGGCTCAAATTCCAGCTCTGTTACTTCATGAGGCAAGTTATTTAAGCTCTCCATGACTCATTATCTATAATCCTAAAAGGAGACAATAAAAGCACCCAAGTCATAGTGCTGTTATGAGAATTATGAAAGATAATGCATTCCAATTGCAGAGCAGAGTACCTGGCCAATAATGGATGTTCACTTTATCTACTAATTCTTTTCTTCTTGGTGCTTGAAAGCCAAGCCATCTAAGTAAGGGTCTTGAGTTCAAGATATAAGATGCTATTTTTGTCTCAACTAAGAATATAAGAATTGCTAAGACAAAAGGAAACAACTTGTGATTCTGAATGTGGTTTCTCTTCTTGCTGCTATGGCTTAGCAAGAATTGAGATGGATGAGAGAGATGGATTAGCAGATGGAACATCTGCTGAACGATACTTTGGTGGCAAGAGTTCAGAGAAAAGCAGAGGCTCCATGAATGAGAAAATACAAACATACTTATTGATGTAAAGGCTATTACCAAACCTGTGATCCCAAAACATTGTTCTCATTGAGCAACGTATCTGTAAATGAATTGAAGGTGAGTTTCTTCATCTGCAGTTTCAGCAAGTAGTTTAGCAGAGCAATTGTTGCTGGGAGATCTGCAGGTATGAGTGTAATCTTGGGGATTGGTGGTTAATGTGAACAGAGAGCAGGCAAGTAGTAGAGTACAGGTAAGAGTACAGACTTGATTAAATCTGGGCTCTTCTGCTTATGAGCTGTATGACTTTGGGCAAGTTACTCAACCTTTCTTCTTCAGTTTCCTCATCTGTGAGATAATACCTGTCTCATGTGGTTGTTGCTAAGATTAAATAAATATGCGTAAAGCACTTTGGCAGCACACACATAGCAGGCACAGCACAAGTGTTAACAGATATAGTTATTTAAGAACAATCTACAGTCGAGAAAGATAAAAATCAGAGAAAGTGAGCCCGTGTTCTGGAGAAATAACTGTGCACAGGGGAGTTTGGGGCTTCTGAGAGTTAGGATTCTCTCATCAGAAACACGACACTGGTAGCAGTGGGGGAAACTCAAGGGTAGCAGGTTTGTGAGGATTATTGAAATAGATCTTTAGATATTTTCATGAATATCATGAATGTACCCCGAGTTTTTACTGTAATCTGTTTTTTTATATTACATAGGTAATCTACCTAGAGCTTTTAGCCCACATATAAAATTAAAGAAATCACCATATCTATTCAACTACTTGAAAAGAAATTCTGGCACCAGGGGTGGGAGTGGGGTAATGTCAGTGGAAAACAAACACAAAAGCCCAACTTTTCCTTAAAGATTAACTTAACTACATCATGCATATGTACGTGTGTGCCTATCAAGGGTCATCAAACTATGGTCCACTGCCTGTTCTTGTATGGCCTGCAAAGTAAGAATGGATTTTACGTTTTTAAATAGTTAAAAAAATCACCCAAAATAATGATACCTGAAAATTATATGAAATTCAAATTTCCAAGTCCGTAAATAAAGTTTTATTGTAACACAGCTGCATTCATTCATTTAAGAGCTGTCTACAGCTGCTTTGGGGCTATAGTAGCAGAGCTGAATAACTGCAAGAGACCCATATGGCTTGTAAAGCCTAAAATATTTACTCTCTGGTCCTGTACACAAAAGGCTTGTCATAGCATGTGTTATGAAGAAAGGGAGTAAATTAACCTCTTAGCTGTGCTTCTCCAAATGTAACTAAACTGCCATATTTAGCCGTGATCATATTCACTTTTAGGTTCCCTAACAGAGAGGCTTCCCTTCAACCTGGTGCTTTATATAAATCGTTGAATCTTCATAACAACTCTGAGGTAGATACTACTCTCATTCCCACCTTACAGAGAAGGAGCAAGCACAGAAAGCTTAGTTGATTTGCCAAAGGTAGCACCTGAGTGGACAGCTGAGGCCGATTTCAGACCCAGGTGGTGCGGCTCAAGAGCTCAGGCTCCAATCACTTTGCTCCAGCGTCAACGGCTGTAGGACTTCACACCTGAGTCACGTTAGATTTTACAAAAAACAGCTTCAACAGAATTGACTTACCATTTAATTTTTGACTCTTTATTAAGAACTGGCCATGTAAAGAATACCTGCATATCTTTAATAAAAGTGCTATTAAAATGTAATATTAACTAAATTGTCACTGTTCCCTATGTAAGGGAAAAATCTTGTCTCCCCTGGTGTAATATATACTTTATTAGAAAATAAAAGTTACACAACATCTTGATTCCATTTTTTGTCAGTTTACCTTTAACATTAACAGTAACAGCTAGTTTATCATTAACAGAAAACAGCTAAGTCTTCATGGCTGTGCTTTTCTATACACCAGCCTATCTTCTTCTTCCTTACATTCAATAACACTGTGCTAGGACAATTAGAAGTGAGAGAGGTATGTCTCACGCTTTCATCAGTCTGAATATTTAATGGGAAAGGCATGCATTAAACAAGTAATTTCATTATTAATGACAAGTATAAGTTTTAGAAAGGAAAAATACGGCATGCTTTGAGAGTATATTACTAGGGGACACGATCTAGTCCACATGGCCAAGACATCCTTAAAAGTAGTGACATCTACGCTGAACTATAATGGATGAGAGGGAATCCTTCGGCCTTGAATTATTTCTAGGTAAAGAGAAGAAAATGTGGAAGATTCTGAGCAGGGAAGGATGGCCCTTCTAATAAAATCTGGTAATTTGCCAACATGAACTGATAGAACACATTCTGCCGGCACCTGCCCGAGACACTTGCTAGGAACAGGAAAGGTTGAGAGCTGCCTAGCTTGCTTAATGGAGGGTGATTCTGCTCTCAATGGGAGGGGTGTTCCAGTAGCTCCCAATGTTGGCTATGTGCTAGAATTCTGGGGTGATATCTCAAGGAAACGAGTCATGGAGCGAGGAAAAAAAGAGCTCATTTAATTTACTGAAAATCTTATCCCAGGTGAAAAAAGAAATTAGGAAGCTGGAGAAGACTGTTACCAGAGGGTTATCCTATGGATCTATTTAACAGTGCCTACAAATGCATACAAAAAAGCCAGACTTCTTTCATTTCTGATCCTAGGAAAGGAAAAACATCACTGTCATCCTGAAGGAACCAGGAACTTATAAATATTACCACTATATAGGAGTGAAAACGGGAATAGGTAGAACACAGAGAGGAAAAAAAAAAAATCTTCCCTGTACTTCTGCCTTTGTTGCCAACCAACAGTTGTTAAAATGATTAGATAATTCAGAAGACAGTTAGCACTGTCAGTTTAAATGTTTAGACAGTTTATGTTGTATTATAAACATAGGGTTTTTTCTTCTGGTTCCCCACCCCACGCCGTTTCGCTGTTATGCTTTCCTATTCACATACATTTGCCATAGAACAACTACAGCAAATAAAAGGCAATTGGTGGTTGGAGGTTTCCCAATAAAAATAAGGGCAACCGTTTATAGAAAGTTCATTATGTACCAGGCACTGTGTGAAATGTTTTGAATACATGATTATCTCACTTAATTCATTACAACAACCTTTTGACCTATTATCACATCTATGTCATTAATGAGGAAACTAAAGCACAAAGAAGTCAAATAACTCTGTGCCAAAGGTCACACAGTGAGGGATGCCACGGTCAATTAAACAGATGCTATTCCTCTTGGAGTTCAGTCAATCTTTTGTCTGAACACAATATATCTTCTGGGTCCCAGAGGAATGCTAAAGGGGATCAAGGAAAAATAACAGCAATCTTAAGATTCTTCAGCCTACTATCTTTTTTTCGAATGAGAAAAAGGCTGAGTTGAATTAGATTGAGAAAAGAACAGATTGAAAAGGGAAATAAGCCAGTTATAATAACCAGTGGTTATAAGCTGGTATATAAAAAAATGTGCCAGTGGTTCTAAACTTTAGTGTGCATCAGAATCTCCTGCAGGTCTAGTAAAAACAGATTGCTGGGCTTCACCCACAGACAGAGTTTCTGATTCAGTGGGTCTGGGGTGAGTTCTGAGAACTTGCATTTCTAACAAGTTCTCATCTAAGGCTGCTGGCCCAGGGACCATAATCTGAGAACCACTGCACTATATACACTACATAAATTCACTCTCTTACAACATAGCTCTAGTAAATAAAACCATACACCTTTCCTAGGAAACTAGAACATAAATAAAGGGGCTCCTTTAGAGGTTAAAGAGATGTGGAATTTTCAAAGAAACCTTAAAAAAAATTTTCCTTTATTATATTTTTAAATATAACATTTGGTATATACAAAAAACATGTAAGATATGTAAATTGTAAAAACCATATAAATCTTATACCTAATTCACAGTGTAAATCAGTCTTTTCAAATACTACTGATGATCTTCTTTTGATATTAGGCTGTATTTATTATTGGAATCGCCAAATATTCTTAAAATAAGATTTAATTTTTGAAGAATACTTATAACTTTCATAATGAACATATATTGTATAAACAGGTTAAATTTTAAATCTTTTTTCTTCATTGCTTATTCCACAATTTTCACTAGTGAATAAACACTACTGCTACTGAAGACTAAGCTAATAGAACATATAAAGTTGGACAAGAAAAATAATTCCAACTTTCCAAGATATATTGTGAAATTACTAAAGACAGAGAGAACACAATGAAATATTTTATCTTAAAATTATCCATTTTAGTTATCTTGCTAAATAAAGAAAGCATAAAATTTATGACTGGGTTAGACCATTCTAAAGTAGGCTTTCAAAAATAAATGATAAGAGAGCTGTCAGTGCTACTTCAGTAATTATATACAATGAATACTGTCAGTGAAGTAAAATCTTACCCAGGTCTAGTCGTTTTGAATTCCACCTTGAGGATAGGCTTGCATGGTTCTGGCTTCTTCCCATCCTTTAACTGTTTTCCTAAAATATATTTTCCTGCATTAAATTCTAAAATTCTAAGTTACTCTAAATTCTTACACATTGATAGTTTATAAAATGAAATATAATGAAATCCACCATGAAACATTTTAAAGTGGTCTTGAAAGAAGTATTTAATACAAAATAAGATATTTTAAATGATCAGTTTACTCTTTGAAATTCAGTGCTAAAAAGTAAATAAAATAACTTGTCAACAACATTTATGTGATAAAATTCTAGTAAGAGAAATTCAGTCTTTCCAATGTTCTTAATTGAAGATAAGCAAAATAGGGTCTCAATTTGCCCAATGAATTCAAGTTTTAAAATAGCTTATTTGAGAAAAATAAATCTAAGTCATATTTTCAACCAAAGTGACAGGCTGCAAAATTAAATCCCTATGCTAATAAACTCATTAGCATAAATTTACATTTACATTTACTCTCTTACTCATTTACATTTACTCTCTTAAAGTAAAAGCCATCCATTGCAATGTCCAGAAGATTGCTAAAATAAACCAACCTCTATAAAATGTGTCAGAAACTCATACTGTCAAAGAATTTTGATTATTTTTAAAAAGGTTGATTTCTATTACCTAGTTTTACATGTTCGTATTAACAACTCAGAAAAATTAAAGAAAATAAAACATATTATTCCCATTTCTTAGGGATTAATCAGTCTCACCATTATCATACTATTTGTGAAGATCCCAAACACACACTGCTATCCCAACACTTCTTATCCTCTTTCCCAGCTTTATCCCCCATAGTAACTAGCTCATTCTAATGAAGTTTGTATTTTCTTTTGTTTGTTATTTGCCTCACCAAGAAGAACGTAAATTCCATGAAAGCAAAGGTTTTTAAGTGTGTGTTTTCTGTTGATACACCCATGGTGACAAACATTGTTTGGCACAGAGTAGACACTCAGTAACTATTTAATCAGTGAATAAATTAATAATTTTTCTTTAGGATTAATTTCTAGAAAAGAGATACTTAGGTAGAACTGTATTCCAGAAAGGAAGAAGAAAATGTAGGAGAGTATTTTGCCACACGCTTCCTGAACAGTGCTCTTTTTTTTTCTGATTTGGTAAGTGGAAAGGGTATCTCATTTTAATTTGTATTGATTTAATTCCTAACGGAAAATTCTTAGGCTTTATGATCATCTGTATTTCTTCTTTTAAAAATAACTTATATCTTTTACCCGTGCTTGTATGTTATCTTCTTTATATTTAAAAATAAACTTAATATTCAAAGGTCATTAACATTGTATCCATATGTTGCAAATACTATCCCTAGTGTCACTTGTGATTGATTAAATAAGTCTATCAGTCTTAATCATGTTTCTATTTAAGAAAACTTAAAATCCTAAAATGGCAATTCTTCCAAAATTAACTTACAAATTTAATGTAATTAGAATTCCAACAGCTTTTCTTAAATTTGGACAAAATGACCTTAAAGTTCACATGGTAGACTCAATTCCTATGAAGAGCTAACAAAACTAAAAAAGGAGACTGACTTCCAGAATGACAAAGTGTGACCTCCTTGAACTCGCTCACTTACTATAAACTCTGCAAATTAACTGAAGCCACAAAATGAGCCTTAACATTATCTACTCAATGGAAATGAGCAAACCTTGGTAAGACAAGGGGGACTGGGATGCTTTGACAAGGGCTGTTCCTATTCCCCTTGTTCCCCAGCTCAGTGGCCCAGTACCATGAAAAGGCAACAGCATCATCAGCCAGCAGAGAGGACTGAAGTTTATCTGCAGTTCCATTAAAACCAGATTCCCTAGAGGGCAATCAGTACTTTGTCCCAATCTGCAGCTCCCTGAAAAACTCTACTCCCAAGGCATTGTGGCCAATTTCATTTGACAGAACAGACATCAGCTCAGGGAGACAAAAAGCCCTACCTCCAGGGCATCACAGAAATAATAGCAATCTGCTGGCAATATCACAGCTGCCTAAGGCTGTGGTTTTAGTTGAGGCAAATAAGATCCTGGGCAGGAATTTTTTAAAAATCCTGAAGAACTGGACATACTCTAGGGATCTAAAAGGCTGTATACATGTGCAAGGCAGTGTGCATGCCCAGGAAAGACCTAGGAAAGGAAAAGGCCCCAGTCATTCATCTCTGGCCAACTCTAAGACTCTGGGCCAACAGGAAGTTAACAAAAAAAGATAGTAAAATGAGCTATAGTACCACTGCTGGCAGGAACAATGGAAGAGAGGTACTTATACATGGCCGGTAAAAATGCGAAGGATACAGTCTTTTTGAAAAGCAGTTTGAGAACATTTATGAAAAATAGAAATATGTAAAACTAGTAAATTTCAAGGAGCAGCAATTCTACTCATAAGCATTTATTCCACAGAAACAAAAGGACAAATTCCTATCGAATACGTACAGAAAGGTAAAGGCAGCACAATCTGTAGTGATCAGAAACTGAAAATAAAGTTAACACCCATCAATTTGGCACGGCTGAATAAAGTGTGAAAAATTGTGAGACAAGCAATTGGCTGATACACTACCATTGAAATGAAGGAATTAGGGCTGTGCCAGGTGACATGGAGAGATTTTCCTCAAGTACAGTGGATTAAGAAAAGTGAGATGCAAAAAAGACTAATATAGTTCTATTTTTGTAAAACAATGACCAAAAAATCTCATATGTTTGTATATGTGTGTGTAAATACATACGATTTTAGAAATGCATATATTTTGGAAGAACACCTGTAAGATTTTTGACATAGCTTACCTGGTGGGGCAAGAAAGGGGACTGGGCTGCTAATGTCGAGGAACGTTTAGGGAGAAGAGGCTGGTACGCCACGATCCCGTATCATCATGTGTATGTGTATGAAAAAAAACTATCATTCTTTTTTGTCACCGCCTCTTTGGTTTCATGGTTAGGAAGTTCTTCCCCACACAAATATCATTACAATTTTTTTTTTTTGCTTTTTCTTGTAACTGCTTTATAGTTTCATTTACTACATTTATTTTCTGAAGTATATTTTGATATAGGGGAGGTATTTTTTCTTTAATAATTTCGGCACTATTTGTGTAGTTCTATTGAGCTATAATTGCCAGACAATACAGTGCAAGTATTTAAAGTGTACAATGTGACGAGTTGTGATACAGGTATGCACCTGCCAGCCTTATTACTGAACCATCAGAGCTTTCCCCACTGATATGAAATGGCACTTTTATGACATTAAATTTTTATAAATACACACCATTCAACTGCTATTAGAACATCTAATCCTGCCTTAAGATCCTAGGGAAACATCTCTTCACCTCTTCATGCAGAAAATGATGATGCAATGGACTCTTGAACCTCTGGCATCCTAACTTACAAGAACCAACAAGTGACTAGTGATAGAGTTAAGTAGAACACCAGATCAAGGGACAGGAAAGGACTGCAAGGGGAGAAGACTGGTTTCTTGAGGTGGGAGAGAGAATTGGGGTAATCAGAAAGGTATGGAAAAAAGGAGGCTGAAATCTGAAAGCTAGTCCCTCATGCTGTACAAGGAACAAAGTAAGAATTTCAACCTCTATTTCAATCTGTTCAGAGATATACGACCTTTCAGTCAGGAATTTAAATGTTTGCTCTGAAGAAGACCAGATGCATAAAACCTGACCAAGTACAAAATTCTTAAGGTTTGTCTTGCTCAATAGTCTCTTGGTATTGCTCTACTGTGTCCAGCATTTAAACTTAAAGTTTAAACCTGGTCTGATTTTTACTTCTTTATAAATAAACTTTTTTTATAAAAGTTTGGACAAAATGCATGGATACAAGGATGCATACAAGGATGCTAAGAGAGTAGTTTCATTATCTCTATAAATTAAAAATGTTACAGTTTTTATAGTGATTTTTCATTAATCTTGCTTGGAAATTAGTGAGTCCTTTTGATTTGCATACTCTGATCTTTTTTCAACTCAGGTTTTTAAAATTATGCCACTGATTATTGCTTATATTCCTGAAAGGTTTATTCATCTGTAATCCTAGACTAACCATTTTCTAAATCAAATCAAGTAATAAGGCACTAGCTAAGATTTTATAAAGCACAAATAGCTAAACGACATTTAGAGCATCACTGGATTTCACCATTAAGTGTCATTTCACTTCTTAACTGCTATGCCACCTCCGTAGAAAAATGTGTGCTTACTCTTTCAACTACCTGTGAACTACTTTGATAAATCATTGAAAAGATCTGGTTAAATATAAAACTCGACTTAATAAATCACATAAACCTCCATGTCACATGTGATTCCTTCTGGTCTCTTATTATGCCCTGCTTCCCATCCCCCAAAATTACCCAGCCACAATCAACAAAGTCCTATTGATTCTAATTCCAGAATTTCATTATGTATGTCCATTTCTTCTCATTAGCAGTCACAATTGACATCTTCATTATTTACTGTTAACAACAGCTTCCTAATTGACCTCCCTCTTCTGCTCCCAGCTCATCTGATGCAATACCATCAAAGCAGTATTTCCAAATATAAATTTTATGTTTCTCATTATAAAATCATTTCCTAGGTCTCCATCATGAAGTCCAAACTCTTTAGCATACTACAAGGTATATTTTTGCCTCTGTATGCAGTTCTGTCTTAGTTTCCTGCTACTCGCCCAAAGGAATTTTAAACATTGGTCATATTAAACTATTAACAGTTTTCCAAGAATACTCTGCTTTTGATTATGTCTTTGCACCTTCTGGCTAAAATAACCTTGCTCTGCTCTTTGCTATCTTATAACACTCAAATATAAAAACTAGGGAAAACTCTGTAATGGACTACATTAAAGAACTGCTGTATGGATTTGTTATTTATTGAATGTATTATGCTTCAGGTAAATCTTAAAAGTAGATTAATAGAAATTTTTAATATCTCACATCCTTAAAATATTACATTAAGTTAGCTTTACTTATGTGAAGTTTGAATTTATCTTTCCTTCAGCAACGTTTAACAGAATAAAAGTTCTCTAATCCTGGGTTATTCTTTGATAAATGGATTGATTGTACTGATGAATAAGCTCCACGAACTAAATCTTAAAATGTCATTTCCTATAATGGATACCTATTGATTTTGACTATCTACCATCTCCATTTCCTCTGAGAATAATCTGACTTTGGTGAACATGACAATAGCAGAAAAATCTCACTCTGCAACACATCACACGCACATACCCAGGGTTACATGGGAGATCCTCTGGGGCCCTGGGTCAGCAAATCACTTAACCATGATGACTGCTTCAGGGTAAGTACCTGAGCCATGCCAGGACTACCAAAGTTCTTCCCTCTTAAAAAATGAAAGCCTATCTGCCATAGGAGAGAAACAAGCCAAAAGAGAGAGAGAGGGAAGTAGGGCTTACCCACTAGGCTTACCATACAGACATACAGAACTTACAGCCCACCAAGATGAAATGACTTTGCAGAGTCAATAGATGGTGCAAATCCTGCTTCATTTCCACACAATCATAAAACTTTACACCTTAAAAATCACCTTGCTCAATCCTTTCATTCTACATACGCTGAAACGAAGTCCCAGAAAACAGTAATTATCTCTACAAAGTATTTCACAGACAGCAGAGCTAGAATTACATTCCAGATTGTCTGACTGCCAGGGAAATGTTCTTTGATAGTCATAAAGACTAGATTAAAGGGAGATATCACATTTTGTTTGTTTTGGTCAAAAATCATCTGTCGAGTAATTTCAGACACCCAAATAGAGACTTTCTGAAAAAATAAGACTATCAACCATCTTGATATGCATAAAATTATACAACTTTATATCAGAAAATTACCTTAAATGAATTCAAATTATTCTCCTTTCTTGGCCATTTTATCATCATTATCTAGATAACTGCTATGCCCCTCAGAATAAGAGTCCACTAACAAACAGCTTTAGCGATGAATGATGCCATCGGAGGGTAAACTGAACATAGCTAGCAAATCTGGGGAACTGTCTTATAATTAAATTATAATTCAAGCACCAGGCCGTCATTTCTCAAAGTGTATTCCACGGAACCCTAGACAACCACAAGATGCTCTGTGAACAAAAGACGCTAAAGTCAAATAAGTTTGGGAAAAGCTACATAAAATAAATTAATATATAAACCAACATAAATAATAAATATACAGTTGATCCTTGAACAACATGGGTTTGAGGTGCATGGGCCCACTTATGTGCAAATTTTTTTCAGTAGTAAATACTAGACTACTACAGATGTAGAACCACAGACACCAGGGTTGACTTTAGGTCATATGCAGATTTTCTACTAGGCAGTAGTGAGCATCTCAACACCCTGCGCTTTTCAAGGGTCAATCGTATATATGTATGTATACATGTGTTTACGTACCTTCCCTCTTAGAAATTCATAGTGTACGTTAAAGATTAAGAAGTCTTGTAGTGAAAAAAATGTTCAACTTTAATTCAGCATTTCTAAAACTTCTTTGATCATAACATACTTTTTCACCAAATAACTCATTAACATAGGAAAAATTAGTATCGTGAAATACATTTTGGGGAAAACTAATCTAAAAATCTTTTGGTCCTATCCTACCAAGTAAATAAGATATCCAAATTTATATTTACTATAATCGCATATGTATATAGCATGTCAGTTTCCAGGTACTTTCACTTACATTTTGCTTATTTGTTCTAAGGTGTAGAATGGTGCCTATCACATAGTAGAACCAATATTTGTTGAATGAATAAATAAAAGTACAATCAGTTCTAATCAATTATCAAGGTAACGCTTATTAATTTTTTTTTAAGAATAAGATATACTTAACCACTACCTTACGTGGTTTAGATACGAAAAAAGCCCAAGATTTATTGTAACTGTTAGAAAGTAAGAGCAAGAGATCACAACGCAAGATAGTAATGAAAAAAAGCCCTAAATTTCAATCCATCAAAGCAGATATTTAGTATACCAAAAATTGCATATACCACAAATATGGTATATGTATATATGGAATATGTGATATCTTGTTACTGTATGAAAAACACATTTTTGTGTTTTAATGTATAAAAATGCACTTAGCTTTGCCACTGAATTCAACTATCAGCATAAATTTAACTTTGGCAGGTATCTACCACATTACTGTTGCTGAAAATAATTCATATTTTATAAAGAAACAGTACTTCTGATGATCTACATTTTTAGGCTGCTATACTGTGCCAACAAACGCCATCCAACTTCCTAACATCTGCCACAGAAAAAAATGTACTTTTACATTTTGTTTGGATTCTAATTTTGAAAAAAAATATTATATCAAATATTCTTTGTCTTGTTTGAAAAAAGTAATTTTAACTAGTTACCCTTTTTTGCTAAGATATTACAAACCCTGTGGAAATCTATTTATGCTACTTCTAAAAGTCTGCTCTCAAGGTCTTAAGATTTTAGTATAAAAGAAGTATCAAGATTAAATAGAAAATCACCATTCGGCAACCAATAAGTAATCCATCCAAGAAACAACAACAGATGCTAAAAACAGAGGGTAAAAATTTGATGAGGAACGGTATGTTTACAGAGTCTCAAATATTTCCCCCAAATCAAAACACTTATTGATTACAAGAAAAAATAAAAAACATTTATTAATTTCAAAAGGAAAAAATAACGTTATAATGGAGAGACCTAGTAGACAGAAGCTTAATCAAGGGATCAGAGTATGAGACATCACTAGGACAAATCAAACATAAGCTCCACCTGAGGCTGCAAAAAGAACACATCAGTCCTTTTGGGATATTCCTGCTGAAAATGTACAACATGAATCTAAACATGAAAAAACATCAGACAAAACCAAATGGAGGCACATCCTATAAAATAACTGACCTGTAATGTTCAAAATTTATCAGTTAGGAAAGTCAAGAAAAGGCTCAAGAACAGTTCCAGTTTGAACGAGACTAAAGAAACATGACAACTAAATCTATCCTGCATACAGACCCTTTTGATAAACGGCAAAACTTGGTGATATAGGAGAATGTCTTTGTAAGAAACAAATACTGAAATATTTTGGGATGACTGGGCAATATGTTGAAAACTTACTCTCACATGGTCTGAAAGAAAAAAACCTCTTTGTACTAGACTTACAAAAAAAGATAAAAATTTAGATAAAACTTTAAAACCAATATTACATATTGCTACCATCTTCAATATTATTTTTATTTCCTTCTGGATTTGAAATTAAAGGTCTTGAAACTACTCATCTACTGTTTTGGTTTTCTGAATTCCTAGGTTCCAGTGGGGTTGGGAGATGCTAAAATGTATGGGAATACTCAGGAGTACCACAAAGATTAGGGACTTAGGCACTAACAGAAGGAAGAACAAAAACATATTAGGGAAAACTGGAACCTGCTATCAAAAGGGCTATCTTCTGGAGGCACACATAAATAGACCTGTAGCAAATTTAAAATAAGTGCTTTTCCAGAAGATGACTGCTACCAAAAAGCAGTGGTAAAATAAATTACAATATGTGGCTAAAAGAATTATTATTTTTACCAGAAAACAAACAAGTCTAAAAATGCATATTGCTACAGAAAGATGTTTTTAATTTGACTGTTTATTTTCTACATTGTAATAATGCAGAATGTACCAATTTTTTTTTTTAAAAGTGGGCATTCATATTTTAAAGCAAACAATGAAACATTAGCAATAACTACAAAAGTACTCTTTCAGTATGCTACCAATTTAAAAAACAGTTCCTTTTTATTTCCCTAAATTTGCTGGTTAAGAACCTCTTAGGGTAGAATTGCGAGAATGCAGATTAATAAAGAAATACAAATTCCTAGGCCTCATCCAAAATTCAAACAAGGTCTTCATAATGTGTTCATAAGCACCCTAATAAAACCTTCATGGAGGTTCTGTATATATTACTTGTACAGAAAAAAGTTAACAAAGCAGGCTTGAGACCGCTATCCCTAGAAAGGTCAGCTTGTAAGATTAGCTCTCTTGGTTGGTAACTGGTAACTTGGCTTTCAAGACAGCTTCCACCATGCCAAGACTGATAAGGGTGGCACACTATGCTATATTATCTATACAAACAATATGGTTTATGACCAATCTCTGCTTTCCTTCTGAGCATCTAAAATTTTGGTACGTGCTAAAGCAGAGGGTACCTGTGGACTGACATCAATACAAACTATGGACTTCTGGGCTCAGGGGAGCTTCGCTGGTAGATAACGTTTCACACATGTGGTAATAACTCATTGCTAGAGGAATTAAGCATGTCCTGTGTGACTCCACTGGGAGAAGACTGTTGGAAGCTTCAACCTGGCTTCCTCCAAACTTCACCCCATGTGCCTTTTCCCTGTACTGATTTTGCTTTGCATCCTTTTGCTGAGTCCTATGAGTCTTCCTAGTGAATCAAACTTGGGGTCATTTTGGAGACTCTGAAAACAATACTTTAATGTATAAAATTACCTTCTTAGAGTTCCAAGTGTTTCAGTACATATTATATATACATTAGCAACTTGCAATTGATAACTTTAAGATGACAACAGTTTAAAGTAAGTCCTATATCACTCACAAAATTATCTACTTTTTGGACTACTGGAGAAAAGAATACTCAGAAGATTATGTAACTTCATTTTCTCAAAGCTCATATTTGCAATTTCAACCGCAAATATAGTTATTTGAGATTTTATTTACCTGGTTGTTACACATTATTTCTATATGTATAAATATTTAAAATTCAGAATGAAAGAAAACCCATCCTTATCATCAAAAACAAACAAACAAACAAATCCAAATGCAAACTCAAAACAGTTTACTGTCCATCACAATTTAGGTGGTATTTAAAAGGGATACATTCTTACCATGTGGAGTTATCGTCTGTACAGGCTTAGCAGGGGATCTCACATTCCATATAGTCAAAGTGCCATCTGAATGACTGCAAATAAATTGTTTTCCTTCATGATGCCAAGCAACAGAGTGGATAGCCTATAGAAGAGGGGTAAAGAATTCCATTTTTAAAAACAAAATTTTATTTAAACACCAAGTTATTCATAATTAATTTTTCATTTTAAACTTTTTATTTCACAAGCTAACATCAATAATGTTAATCTTAAATTCCCATAACTCAGTCCTCCTGTCATTATGAGATTTAATTTGGTTCTGACACTATTTTAATGATTTTTACTTTATTTACTCCTTAAGTGAGCGTAAGGATAATATGATAGTGGTATATGTATTATTGACAAGTTCAGGAAAACAAAATGTATTCTTACAATAAACAATAACTAAACATAAATTACCAAGCAATTATAATCAATATTCCATTGGAAAAACTAGTTGCATTGACAGATGAGAACAAATTTTAGAAATTAACTAAAATTTTAGAATTTTTAGACAAAAATGTACATTTGGAATTAAGGTCAATTAAAAATACCTCAGACTGAGCTTTAAGACAGGTTACCCATTTCTCACAGTAATTATTAAGGTGACTTTTAAAATCTGAAATTTATTTTATATGTCTGAGCCACTTAAAAACTATCTGAAGAATATTTTTTAAGTTTTAAACTTTTAAATTTATTTATTTAAAATTTATTTATCTTTTTAAAAAAATTAAAAATTTTAAAGGTTACTTTCCATTCAGTTATTACAAGATATTGGCTATATTCCCTGTGTTGTACAACGTTATACAATACATCCTTCAGCCTATCTTACACCCAACAGTTTATGCCTCCCACTCCCTGACCCCTAGATTGTCCATCCCCCACCTCCCCACTGGTAACCAGTAGTTTGTTCTCTATTATCTGTGAGTCTGCTTCTTATTTGTTATATTCACTAGTTTGCTGTATCTTTTAGATTCCACATATAAGTGATATAATACAGTATTTGTCTTTCTCTGTCTGGCTCATTTGACTTAGCATAATGCCCTCAAAGTCTATCCATGTTGCTGCAAATGACAAAATTCCATTCTTTTTTATGGCTGAGTGGTATTCCATTGTATATATACACCATATTTTCTTTATCCATTCATCTCTTGATGGGCACTTTGGTTGCTTCCCTATCTTGGCAATTGCTATGAACACTGAGGTGCATATAACTTCTAAGGAAACAATCCCATTTACCATTATATCAAAAAGAATAAAATACCCAGGAATAAACCTACCTAAGGAGGCAAAACATCTGTATTATGAAAACTATAAGATGCTGATGAAAGAAATTGAAGATGACACAAATAAAAAGATATACTGTGTTCTTGAATTGGAGGAATCAATATTGTTAAAATGATCATACTACACAAGGCAATCTACAGATTCAGTACAATCCTTATCAAAATACCAATGGCATTTTTCATAGAACTAGAACAAATAATTTTAAAATTTATATGGAAACACAGAAGACCTTGAATAGCCAAAATGATCTTAAGAAGAACAGAGCTGGAGGAATCATATTCCCTGGCTTCAGACTATACTACAAAGCTACAGTCATCAAAACAGTATGGTACTGGCACAAAACAGACACATAGCTCAATGAAACTGGATAGAGAGCCTAGAAATAAATCCATGCACTTATGGTCGATTAATCTATGAAAAAGGAGGCAAGAATGTACAATGGAGAAAAGACAGTCTCTTCAGTAAGTGATGCTGGGAAAACTGGACAGCTACACGTATGGTTTGGCCAACCCAATAAAAGAATGAAATTAGAACATTCTCCAACACCATATACAAAAATAAATTCAAAATGGATTAAAGATCTAAATGAAAGACTGGATACTATAAAACTCCTTGAGGAAAACATAGTCATAATACTCTTCAACATAAACTGCAGCAATATTTTGTTTGGATCTGTCTCCTCAAGTAAAGGAAATAATAGTAAAAATAAACAAATGGGACCTAATTCAACTTAAGGTTTTTCTACAGCAAAGGAAACCATCGACAAAATAAAAAGACAACCTACTGAACGCGAGAAAAATATCTGCAAATGATATGACTGGTAAGGGATTAATATCCCACATATTTAAACAGCTCATACAACTCAACATCAAAGAAACAAACAACCTGATTACAAAATGGGCAGAAGAACTCAACAGACATTCTTCCATAGAGGAAATGGAGATGGCCAACAGGCACATGAAAAGATGCTCAACATGGTTAATTATCAAGGAAACGCAAATCAAAACTACAATGAGATATCACCTCACACCTGTCAGAATGGCTATCATCAAAAGAACACAAATAACAAATGTTGGCGAGGATGTGGAGAAAAGGGAACCTTCATACACTGTCGTTGGGAATGTAAATTCGTGCAGCCACTGTGAAAAACAGTATGGAGGTTTCTCAAAAACCTAAAAATAGAGTTACCATATGATCCAGCAATTCCACTCCTGGGTATATATCCAAAAAAAACAAAAACATTAATTCGAAAAGATACATGCTCCCCAATGTTCATGAAAAATATTTTTATATGACCAAAGTTTGTTACCCTTCAATTTTTTGTTCTGATATTATTTAAATTTTGTCTGTAAAAAATTTAAAAAATCACTCTCCTACGTTCTCTTTAAATTACTTCTTTTTTATTCAAGTTGATACACTTCTTGTTCTTAATGGTCAACAGACTCTAAAAGCTATCAGCTATCCTACTAGAATGTCTTGAACTGCCAAGTGCAGCACAAAAACCATGTAACTGGAAGTTAAGAGTTTCACTTACATACAAAGTCATCATTTAGTATCATCACTCAATGTCCATTTATTTGGGTTCCTCATATGCTTATACATTTAAGTTAAATAAAATAATTTAATGTTTATGGATCACATTTTAAAATTTAAATGATGATAGACAAAGACAATCAGCTGTATTTTTATTTATTTATTTATTTTATAAATTTATTTATTTATTTTTATTTTTGGCTGCGTTGGGTCTTTCTTGCTGCACATGGGCTTTCTCTCTAGTTGCGGCAACAGGGGGCTACTCTTTGTTGAGGTGCATGGGCTTCTCATTGCAATGGCTTCTCTTTGTTGTGGAGCATGGACTATAGGCACACGGGCTTCAGTAGCTGTGGCATGTGGGGCTTAATAATTGTGGCTCACAGGCTCTAGAGCTCAGGCTCAGTAGTTGTGGTGCACGGGCTTAGTTGCTCCGCAGCATGTGGGATCTTCCCAGACCAGGGCTCTAACCCGTGTCCCCTGCATTGGCAGGTGGATTCTTAACCACCGTGCCACCAGGGAAGTCCCTCAGTTGTATTTTTAAATGCCAATATTTAATATAATGTTTTAGGGTCGAAGTATCTCTAACAAAATTCTAAATAAAATCTTAAAATAGTAATAAACTTATTCCAAAGTATACACATGACATTCCATAAACTCAATCTTAGAATAAGCAATTTCTTGGACTTCCCAGAAGTCCATGGTGCAGTGGTTAAGAATCCACCTGCCAATGCAGGGGACATGAGTTCAATCCCTGATCCAGGAAGATCCCACACGCTGCAAAGCAACTAAGCCCATGCACCACAACTACTGAGCCTGCACTCTAGAGCCTGTGAGCCACAATTACTGAGCCTGCATGCTACAACTACTGAAGCCTGCACACCTAGAGCCTGTGCTCCGCAACAAGAGAAGCCACTGCAATGAGAAGCCCGCACACCACAACAAAGAATAGCCCCTGCTCATTGCAACTAGAGAAAGCCCGCACACAGCAATGTGTGAATAAAGCCCGCACACAGCAATGTGTGAATAAAGCCCGCACACAGCAATGAATAAATAAATAAATATATTTATTTGTTTAAAAAAAGTTAAAATAAGCAACTTCTTAGTCGCCTTAATAGATGAAATTATTTCTGTAAAATATAAGTAACGTTAAGAAGCTATACACAAAGTTATTTAAATATATTTTTTTAAAAGTGATAAAAGAAATACAAGAGAGGTTTACAGTGTTATCTGGAACTTATAAATAAAAACATTCTAATCTTATATATAAAAATGTGTAACATATACATAAGTATATATATTATATAAAGAGAACTAATATTTCTACTTAGCTAAAGAAAACAATATACATCTTTAAGAGTACCTTTTATTTTTAAGATATTAAATTATTAAGCATTCCAAAAATAAATACTAGCTAATTACAGGGACCAATAGCTCATAATATTTTGGATAACAGAGAGAAACAAGTAACAGAAAATACCCTACAAAAAGAAATAGCCAAATGTGAACTTTTAAATACAACAAACATGCACAACTTTTTCCATTATTTCTGCAATGTTTAAAGTACAAATACAACTTGATAAAAGATTTTTTTTCCTAATAGTCTAATACCATTACTTGTAATACTACATATGTGCTACCCAAGTGTGTATATATATATATATATATATATGTAAACATAAATATCAATAATGTATATATAGTATAGTAAACTTTATGCTACAGTAATGTATATACTATGTAAGTATAGTGTAAGTATATGTATACTGTGTAGTTGACTCTTGAACAACACGGGTTTGAATCATGCAGGTCCACTTATATGCAGACTTTCTTTTTTTTTTTTTTTTTTTGCGGTACGCAGGCCTCTCACTGTTGTGGCCTCTCCCGTTGCGGAGCACAGACTCCAGATGCACAGGCTCAGCGGCCATGACTCACGGGCCCAGCTGCTCCGCGGCATGTGGGATCCTCCCGGACCGGGGCACGAACCCATGTCCCCTGCATCGGCAGGCGGACTCTCAACCACTGCGCTACCAGGGAAGCCCAGGTTCTACTTTTAAGCAACTGAAATATGACATGCTTTTGTGTAGTTTTCTTCATGTTTCTTCTGCTTTGAGTTCATTGAACTTCTAAGATATCTGTATATTCTAGAAGTTTATAGGGTTTAAAGTCTTCATCAAATTTGGGAAACTTTGGGTCATTAGTTCTTCAAATATGTTTTCTGTTCACATGCTCCCTTCTGAGACTCCTGCTACACATATATTAGTCTTCTTGAAGTTGTACCACAGTTCACTGATGTTCTGCTCATTCTTTGCTCATCTTTCATATTGAGTAATTTCTACTGCTATGTGTCTTCGTTAATCAAGCTTTTCTTCTGCAATATCAAATCTTCTGGTAAACCCATCCAGAGAAAATTTTTCATCTTAGACATTTTTCATCTCTAGAAATTACACTTGTGTTTTTGAAGTTTTGCATGTCTTTCCTCAACATTTTCATGCTTTCATTTACCTTTTAGAGCATATGGAGTCTGTTTAATATTTGTTTTAGTATCCTTGTCTACTAATTATACCATCAGTATCATTTCTGAGTCTGCTTCTATTGACTGCATTTTGTTCTCCTTTTGCATTATATTTCCTGCTTCTTTGCATGCATCATAGATTTTTATCTGGATGCTAATCATTGTGAAATTTATGATGGGTTGTTATACTCTTTTAAAGATTTTTGAGCCTTTTTTCTGGGATGCAGTTAAAAATACTGCTTGGAAACAGCTTAGACTTTTTAAGGCTTGCTTTTAAGCTCTGTTAGGCTAGCTGAGCCAGCCTGTAATGCAGGGCTAGTTTGGCCCCACTACTGAGGCAGTACCTTTCTGAGCACTCTTCCTGATGCCCTGTCTACTACAAGCTTTCTCCATTCTGCTGGGAATGTGAACTACTCTCAGTCCTCTGTGTGCTACGAGAATCGTTCCACCTACTCCTTTCCAGTGGATCTTTTCCAAGCCTCACACCCATGCAGTAATCAGTATTCAGCTGAAGACGCAGGGTGAAGGGCTCCTTGCGAACTTTTAAAACTATCTCTAGGCAGTTCTCTACTCTCTGTTACCTTGTCTTATAAGCTATGGATATCTTCCCCAATTTCCCAACTCTGCCTCCTCAACTTAGGGAGACTGTTGGGCTTATTAAATTAGGTTCCCCCCTTCCCCCTTCATGGGCTGAGACCTGGAAGATCTCTCCAGGTCATAAGCTAAGGCAATTGAAGGGCTCACCTTGTTTCCCCTCTCTAAGGAATCCCTGTTCTACACTACCTGCTAATTTCTAAAAACTGTTCTTTCATGTATTTTTCCAGTGTATTTAAGGTGAGATGGTAAATTCCCTGTGACTCCATAGTGGCTAAAGCCAAGATAACTATTTAAATGACAAAAGCAAAACAAAAAAAAGTCAGTTTTTCAAATGTGCTTTCATTTTGACATAGGAAACGGCTCTACAGGCCAAAGCTTCCAGAGAAATGACAAGAACTCTTTATTAAAAATATTCTTTTAAAATAATTTCAAGATCTTGATTGGTGAACCACAGAATACTTACTAACTAAAAAGCTTTAAATACAAAAAAGCATACAGCTATGAAAGCAAAGGAAATTCTTTTATTCAAGCTTAAAAGATAATACGCAGACATTTACAAAGTATTCCAAGTATTGCTACAGTTGCTCAAGGTAGTCTGCTTGAGTAACTGAAAGCATCGATATGAACACATGACATATTTCTCAAAAACAAACAAACAAAACCACTTACACATTTCCTAGATCTATTCACTGAATTGGAAATTGTGAACACTCCTGGTACCCAAATTAGGGTCACTAGATACCATTTCACACTGAAAGAAGCCAGTTTCATGGAAAAAGATATTCTAAATTTGGGACAGAAATATACAAGATTAATAGGTATACTTTGTTATAACAGATGGCAAGGAAGCTATCTAAGAGTATTATCACCAGAGGACTCGGGAAACAACTGGAAGAGATTCACTGACCAAAGATGGGACAATTTGAAAATCAACAAGGATAATAACTTCAGTGTACTGAAGCATATGAAATACGTTCAAATCTTTGAGTACATAGTGAAACAGAAAACAAGAACAAATTACCCATCATTAAGATTACTAGAGAACAACCTCTTTAGAGTAAATACTGAAATAAAAAGAAAGCATCAAGCATTTATCCTGCCTTTCCTATCTGAACTGTCCTACTATATAACCAAAAGAGTAAACAAGAAGTTTCTCTTTACTGAAGTGTCCCACATAATAGAGAAGGAATTATAAAATTAGAACTTCCCTATTTTGCAACACTATACACTAACAGATCTAGGTCTTGAACATCATCACTGGCTGCTAATATCACAAACAGACACTAATATTCAACCTGGTAGAAGAACATCAGCATCATCTATGAAATAGTCCTGCTAAAAATGAAACTAAATACGATCATGCCTCAGTAAACCATCCAATTTATAGGAAGTCTGAGGGCAAAAAAAGACAAAATCAATCAATCACAGTCTTTATTTGGATCCTAAAGCAAGCAAACTATAAATATTTACAGCATACTATCACTTGTATAAAAATTTAAAATAGCATACATTTATTAATTTGTTTGTAAATGCAGAAAATATCTCTGGAAGAATACATGAGAAACTAACATTGCGACATGAGGTAAGGGAACCGGATGGCCAAATGACAGGAGTTGCAGAGATTTTTTTTTCTATCTTTTGACCTATTTTAATATATTATTTCATATATATGCAAAAACTGTGCGTTACTGCAATTAAAAAGGTTGCCTAAAAAAATCACTCATTAAGTTCTTAGAGAAGCCGTTCTGAGCTAGAGCAATGACAACAGCTTTTGATTAGCAAAAATAATGTTATTACCTCATCGTAGGTGTATCTGTAGTCTGCTTTCTTTGATTTGAGGTCCCATAACACTACTGTTCCAGATTCAAAGCCAATTAAAAGCTGTAATAAAAGAAAATGCCACATTACCTAGGAATGACATGAATCATATGAAACACTTATTTGCTGATGATAAAGATAATTATTACCATTCATATGTTTCAGGTATGAAATTATAATATCATTAAACATCTGCATTGCTAATTACTAATCTCATGGATGACATATGGGAAAACTGCACTGCATATTTATATGCCTTCGATCATTAGGGATTCAACATATATTATACAACTGATTACTGAAAATGAAAACGGTACCATTTTGAAGTCCAGAGGGTATATTTTCATTAATTAATATAAGTCACCAATAAAAATTAACATTTTCATGTGCTTTAAAGTTTACAGACTTTTCTAATTCAACACATTGTCAGGCAATCTCATTTACTCATCTATATATTGATTAGTTCCAAATTATATCTAGCCTAGACCTCTCTCATGAGATTCAGACTTATAATTCCAGTGGCCACATGTTCACATATTTATTCCACAAGAACCTCAAAATAAATGTGTCCAAAGTGAATTCATTATTTTCTTCCCTACCCTCCTTTTCTGGTATTCCCTATTGCAGTGTCTCTCTCAGCATTCTTTTCTTTTTAATATTCATTAAGTCGCTCAGGCAAAAACCCTGGAGTCATCATTAACTCTAGTCTCTCCCCTACCAGGTAAATTTAAAAAGTACACACTAATATCTCTCTAATTTACTTTCCTCCACCTCCAATATCTCTCTCTTGGTTCAAGATACACAAATCTCTTCTCTAGTCTCTGGTCTCTCTGACTCTCCAGTCTTGGCCCTTTTTTTTTTAACCCATTCCATATTGTAGCTAGGGTGATAGTTCTAAAATGCAAATCTGATCATGTAATGTAGCTTTTTGTTTAAAACTTTTTAATGCCTTACCATTATTTTTAGATCAAGTCCAAACTGAATAATCTGACCTACAAGATACATCATGGTCTGGCCTCTGCTCACCTCCCCAGCTTCATCCTTTTCCACATCCCTCTTACCCAATACATTCCATTATATCTTTCAGGTCATGCTCTCTCTTACCTTTACACCTTTGTCCATGCGGCCACCCTAACTGGGCCACTCCATTCAAATGTCATCCTTTTTGCTTGACTAATCCTACTAATCCTTCATGTCATTTTAGCTATCACTTCTTCCTGAAAGTCTTCCTTGATCTACCAAATGTCAGCCAATGTCCTTCCTATGTGCTCCAACAGCAACCTGTACATTTTTTAACCTGAAGGGTCACTAGACAATAAAATAATGTCTTTTTCCTTATCTGAATTCTCTTGCAAACTGAAACACTGGTCTATTTAAGCAAGAACTGGTTTTACCTTGTTTACTACTATACCTCTAACATAAGACAGAGAGCCTGATATGTTGTAGGTACTTTTTTTGTGAATGAATAAGTTCCGGAATGAAATGCATGTTCTTGCCTCACAAACTCTCTACTGTTTACCACCTCCTGCACTGGCATTTTCCAAATCTCAGTATTCCCCCTGCTTGAAACCTTCTCCCTTTTTAATTCACTTTTATTCACTTTTTATTCACTTTTAAGCATTTAGTGTTGCTTCCTTGGGTAAGCCTACTCAATTCCTCTGGACAGACGGAGATGCTTCTTCTCTTACACAAGTAAACGCATTTTCATCTATATGTCTCTAGTATCTAATATACTGCCTAATGCACAGTAGCTATTCAATAAATATTTGTTTAATAAATACATGAATGATTGGTAGCTAGCCAATAACTGTTCATGTGACCTGGAGATATGAACAAATTTGGGGGCAGATCCAGTAACTTTAACTAAATCGCAACTTAGTGGATTTCAGACTACGGGGACATTTGGAAGAACGAGTCATTGAAACTAACAAAATAGATTTTCCCACCTTGGTAGGAAGTACACTTAATTTTCCTAACATAAACTCTTCTTTCTTCGGCAATCTGAAATACATACTCTTTCTGGAAAAAAAAACAAAACTGGTATTTGTTTCCTTTACCTTTTTCTAGTCCTTCTAAATATCTTGGACATGTATATGGCATTTTCTGATGGGGGAAGTAAGAGAGGAACTTCAGGAATAAGGAAAGAGATGGAAAAATATAAAATTTAAGAATTGATATACAGTATAAACAATACTGGATTGCTTAGGACACAGGTAACTTAAGCTCTAGCCTTAGATCTGCCACTTAGTAGCTATGTAACTTAAAAAAAAAAATTTTACCCATCCAGATCTTAGTAACATAAGAGGGTTAAAGTAAACTTTAACCTCTCTAGCCAGCTGTATCTTCCTAAGAATGTTAGAAATCTGTGCCAATAAGTTAAACTTTAATCCCTACAATCTCCTAAATATTAAAAAATAGAAGAACTGAAGGATGTGGTACTTATAAATAGAAAATTGCACAACTAAGATGCTAATAAATTTGGAAGTGAGAGAAAGCATTTTATGTTAGGATTATCAGGAAAGGTATCATGAAAGATATGTATTTAATCTGAGCCTCAAGATGTGAGTAGGAATTCAGCAGAGAAAGAACAGTGGGAAAGAATTCCAAACAGAGGGACTTATATAAATAAGGGATGGAGGTAGTAAAGAGCAGCTCACATTTGGGCAACAATAACTACTTGCTTCAGCATAGCATTCAGGTAAAGATGTTCTCAAAGATAATGAAACCTAGGGCTATGTTTTAAGGAAGGATTGTTTTGCTTGTTAGATACTGCAGAACCACTGAAAGCTTTTGAACAGGAAAGCAATAAGATTAAAATGGCACTCTAGGAAGACTGATCTGGAAATGACTCAAGAATGGGTTGGAATGCCTTGAACTGCAGTGGTCATAAGGAGATTGAATAGAAAAGACACTGCAATGGAAGGACTGAAATGACTTACTGACTGATTCAACGTAGAAGAAAGGGAAGTTTTCAATTCTTCCACCAGGTCTCCCACCCAAAGATTGGCTTTTAGACAATTATCTTATACCAAAAATAAGTAAGTAAAGTGAAGATATAGGTTACTGTAGCTTGCTTCATGTAGTTTCTCTCAAACCATACAATTGTATGATACAGGCTAGCTCTAAACAGTACCGCTATCCTTTTGTTTTCCCAGTGTTAACAGAACAGTGTTAACACAACATATAGGCTCTACCACTCTCACTAACTGAGAAAAGGAAAAACCTGAATAAACTTCACAAAATCCAGAACTTTCATATCACTGATTTCTGATAGTGATTAACTTTCTGGTACTGATGCAGACTAATTTTCATGATATTTTATAAGTAGAAAAAATATCATTAAATAGAACTACTGAGAGATTGGTTTGAATTAGGAAGTAGAGATTCATGGAAAAGAAAATTTTATTATTATTCAGAGTACTAATGAACCTAAATTAACAATAGCTAAGTAATGATCGCATGAAACTGGTTTCAAGTATAAAAAAATTAAGTATTACTTTTAAAAAGTCTCTATTGATCTGAGCTATTTATGGAGAAAAATTTAGGGGAGGGAGATACAGAGGCAACTCTAACATAAGATGTTATGGGATAAGTGCTATAAAAATTGTTTAACTAGTATAAAAAAGAATTCAAGACCAAAAGAAAATGGTTTTTGTCAGGATTATCAGAAAATAAGGGGAATTATTCTAAATAAGCCAAAAACAAGTTAACAACCTTTAACTGTATTTATTAAATTTTACTTGTTTTAGAGATTTCTTCTTTAAAATGTAAATATTTTAATTTTCACTTGTTCTTCATAATGCATACATAAGCAATTAAGTATATATGATATACAACCTTTAACTGTATTTATTAAATTTTACTTGTTTTAGAGATTTCTTCTTTAAAATGTAAATATTTTAATTTTCACTTGTTCTTCATAATGCATACATAAGCAATTAAGTATATATGATATACAACCTTTGTTATCAATCTCAACTTTGCAGAGTAAGTGTAGTTCTGGAATAGTTTGCATATTTAAAAAATACAAAATTCATGCATTTAAGTAATAAATATATATATTTAAAAAAATCTACCTTTCCTTCATCCATTGGATTATCACTTATATGGACAACAGGTCCTGGGTGAGATTTAGATGACCTAAAAGAAAAAAAGTTAAGATGTTTTTTCTCAAGTAAAAATTGCAATACTATTACATATTCATTACAATAAGAATAATGAATGGAAAATAAAGATATATTTACAAAGGTTGAAAACATTTCAGCAAGTGATCAGTAACAGATATATAGTTCTCAATATGGATCAAAATAGGAATCAGGAAAAATAGTGACTCTCACATTGATATAAGTCACAAAAATTTTAAATTATGTTCACTTGGGCTTCCCTGGTGGCGCAGCGGTTGAGAGTCCGCCTGCCGATGCAGGGGACATGGGTTCGTGCCCTGGTTCGGGAAGATCCCACATGCTGTGGAGCAGCTGGGCCCGTGAGCCATGGCCGCTGAGCCTGCGCGTCCGGAGCCTGTGCTCCGCAACGAGAGAGGCCACAACAGTGAGAGGCCCGTGTACCGCAAAAAAAAAAAAAAAAAATTATGTACACTTTCTGTATAGGAAAGAATCTTCAATTTTGTATTTTAGCACAGAAAATTTATTCTCATGGTAGAATTCTCAAAGTTAATATTCTAAAATAAAGCAGCATCTAAAATATTGCTATCTTTATTTTACTCAATTCTAGCCTCCAGTTGGGGCATATCATCTAGTTACACACTTCATACCAAAAATAAGAAAAATTCCATTATGGCTTTTAAAAAATCAACAAAATAATGCCACCAATATTTGCTCAGAGAAAAAAGAAGTCATACAGATAAGAATGTAGCTGAACTGATGTCTATAGAGTAGAAATAAGCAGAAATAACCCATTCATAAACTCTAAGAGTTGAGAGACCAGTCCACTTCATTGAGAGCCACTTGTGAAACCACACAGACACCTGCACCAGGCCTCCCCGCTATATGTTGTGATCAACTCAAAGAACAGACCTAGAAAACCTTGTTCCAAGGGACTGAGAAATAACAATGTTCCTGATAAAGGAAGGAAAACCAAACTTAATACACCATTACAGCTGCAACAACACATTACTTAGGAGATATGCCACAAATTTATCCTTATGTCAAATTCTGTGGAATGCAACAATATGGAACTATTTGTTTAAAAACAAGAAGAAATGGTGAAAATAAACCTTGCCGATATCCTTAAATTCTGATTTTTATATCTAAATAATATAAGAAAAAAATTAGAGAAAGAGATAAGATTCTAAGACAGTGAAAAGTTAGCACTAAAGATCCTTAGGGCCCTATAGCACAACACAGTTTTTGTTGTCATTACTGTTAAATAAAACCAATCATTACCATATCAAAACTAAGGAAAATTAACTGTCAAATTAATTCTGCAATGTTACACTATAAACATTTACATTATATTTGGTAATTACTAAAACATAGCAAGTAGTGGTTTAGATCAGTGTTTTCTAAACATTGGTGGCAACTTGTTAGTGGGTCATGAAATCAATTTAGTGGGGCATGACCAAGCATTTGAAAGAAAAATAATTAGATGATAAATGAACAGAAAAAAATCTGGAATGTTTTTCACCTAATAAGAATAATGGTTTTATTAAACTTGTGCTATAGCTTATATATATGTGAACATATTTATATATAATACATATATGTATCTATACAGATATATGTAAAGCATTTAAATTTTCAAACTGCCAATGGGGCAATACTTGCAAAAGGCTGATAAATCTGTATTTAATATTAAAAATTTAATTCTATATTTACTAATTACCTATTACATAATATTATCATATATGGTACTGATAGTTTCAGATATGGAATATTTGCTCAAACTCACAGTTCAATGGCTTTATTCCACATAATGACGTAGCCTGAGAGTGTGAAGGACTCCACATTGACAATATGTATATTACCTCGTTCAGTGCCCACATAGAGCCACTTACTCTGGAAAGGCAGATGGCAAAACGTAACCCTGCAAGAGAAAATATATCCAAAAAGGAAATCAGAAAAATATCTGGTAAACTTTATTAACTGTATGAGAGGGTTAATAATGACATATACAATTTAGGAAAAGCAAAACAAGATACAACCATCAGATTAATCAACTCACTGTAGTTAATATTCAATTATGCTAATTCAACTTTAATGTCAAATATAAGTCCTTACAGTAAATAGACAGCATAACCTGATAGAAAGGAGATGAGTTTTGACATTAGTATGTGTTTCAAATCTGGCTATGTCATCCACTGTGTTACTTCAGACGTATGACAAATGTAACTTTTAAAGCCACAAAGTGAGTCTAACACATCACCCCTAGGTACTACCTTATTTCTCAGAAGTTATTAACCACACGAATCCATCTCGGTACCTGTGCTGACTACTCCCTCTACGCAAAATGCTCCTCCTCCTCATGTTCTTCTCCTGTTCAAGATTTAGTTAAAATGCCACCTTCACTCAAATTGATACCTCAACACTTTTGTATCTCTATCAGGCTTGCCTTGTAAGAGAGTCTACCTTCCTCACTAACTTGTAAGCCTTTGGAAGGGCTAAGATCCTCTGTACTTAGGCTTAGACACTGATATTGGAATATACTCAAAACTATCTCCTTCTAAGTCCTGATGATATAAAAGTCCTTCATTGACACATTATAATAATTTACATGCATGTATTAAACTTTATAATCATTCCAACAATATCTAACATTTTCTATATAAGCTCAGTTGATAACAAGGTTAAGAATGGAAAATACCTTGTCCTTTTTGTAGAACTTATTTTTAGGAAAAACAAATAAAGATAGTATGTTATGAAACCATATAATGCTCATTTTTTTCAGACTACCTATTGTGTCTCTCAAAATATACTATTTAAAATTTTAATGGAATAGCCCTTTCAATAATACACAATGATGATAATCACTGCTGAACCCTCAAACTGACAGCAGTCATTAGGCAAGATACAGTATACAGAGCATTTGCTATTCCCATTAACATAATTTCATTACAGAGAATCTTCAAGATGAAAACACTTCAAATAAACACATGCAACTCATGGTCTCACTAATTCCTAGAGTTAATGTTCATTTAGATAATTACTTAAGGTTCATCATCTATATTTTTTGTCGAGTGTTTTATATGATAGCATGTCATCTTTCCAAAGGGTTTATGTAAATTTAACAAAGCAAAGAAATGACTACTGAATCAAAAAAACATCTTATAGTACCTTATTACTTCACAAGGCAGTAAGTCCACAGTACCTTTATGAAAACTTTAGGGCCATATAGGTTTCAGAATTCAGAATTTTCCACATTTTACCAAGGTACATAATAAGTATTTATATATTACCTAATATGGTGGTAGCACCTTGTAAACACACTGATTATTTCTGAGGTATAATTTTTGACAGTTTCTTTTACTTGAGATATAATTGTCCTATAACTTTAGTTTCAGTCGTACAACATAATTCAATATATGTATGTATTACGTAATGATCACCACAGTAAGTCAAGTTAACATCCATAGCCACAGGTATAGTAAGAATTTTCTTCTTCCTGTGACGAGGACATTTAAGATCTACTCTCTTAGCAAAGTTCAAATACATAACACAGTGTTATTACCTATAGTCACTGGAGGTTTCTTAAAAAGTTACACCTACCATATGATCCACCCATCCCATTCCTAGGTATTTACCCAAAAGAAGGAAAGCATATGTCTACACAAGACCTGTACACAAATGTTCATAGCAGCTTTGCAACAGACCCAAACTGGAAATAACCCAAATGTCCTTCACCAGGTAAATGGATGAAAAACTTGTGTTATATACTTAGAATATTATTCAGCAGTAAATAAGGACATGCATACAACATACAACATGCATACATGCAACACCAGTGAATCTCAAAATCCTTAAGATGAGCAAGAGCCAGACAAAAAAGACATATTTTATCATTCCACATACAATTTATATGCAGTAGAAAATGCAAACTAAGCTATTGTAACAGAAAGCAAATCAATGGTTGCCTGGATTGTGAGGGTAGAGGCCAGTAACAGAAGAGGGGAGAGATTACCACAAGGAAACATTTTGGGGTGATGGGTAGGTTCATTATCTTGATTGACAGTTTGGTGACAGTTTCATGAGTGTATGTGTCAAAACTTATCACATGGCTTATTACTTTAAATATGTACAGTTTATTATACGTCAATTATACCTAAATTAAGCTATTTTAAAATGTTTTGTTTTCAGAGATTTGTGGCTTTAGGAATTATGAAAAATAAGGTTGTGACTCTGATTAATACATAGGCACAAGCTCTGGAGTTAAACTGCCTGGATTTAATTTCAGCTCTGTCACTCACTAGCATGTGGCCTTCAGTAAACCATTCAGTCTCTCAGAGCCTCAGTTTCCAAGTGGTAAAGCACATCTACCTTAGTGTTCACCTGAGGATCAAATAAGACAAAGCATGGTAGATGCTTAAAATGGGGCCTGACACAGGTAAGTGCTCAATAAATGTTAGCTAATTATTATAAGAAACTAAGTGATACTCTACCAATTAGAAGTTATAGGGCAAATTTTAATGACATGAAGAAAATAAGGTACAATAATAGCATGCCAGATACAAAATGAACAATGCAATAAATATCATACAAACAACTATTTCTGGTACTTCCCTGCTCAGGGAACTAGCTCCCACACGCGTGCTGCAACTAAGAGTTCGAATGCCACAACTAAGGAGCTGGCGAGCCGCAACTAACGAGCCTGCCTGCCACAACTAAAACCCAGAGCAACCAAATAAATAAATAAATATTAAAACAAACAAAACCCAAATATTTCATTTGAAATGTGCCTTAAACTAAAACATGAATAGAGCTCAAATATTCTGAAAATTCAAAAATAATTTCAAAATAAATAAGTCAAAATAATGACAGTTTGATTTTAAAAAATCAGAAATATCCAACTTCCTGATCTGTTCTGCTATTTTGCAATTTCCCATTATTCTTCAAAAAACAGTAGTTACTGGCTTAATACAATTACATGATCCATCTTTGATTTTAATACTAACAAAATTATTTAAATAATGTGTTTACAAAGTTTGAACTTATCTCCTTAAGGGCAGACATTTTGGATATATCATACAATATTTTCTGTTCCTAGCACAGCAATACCATACTGCAGCTGTTTCTCAAATATTTAAAGAAATGAAGAATAAATTTTTTACCGTTCAGAAAATTTTCTAGAACTTTTCCCTAGGCTCACTTTTTCAATATAAGCTGCCATAGTAAGATTTTTTTCCCCAGTCAACTATAAAACCAACTTACATTGCTGGGAAATTTTAAGCAACTTTATGTTTTAATCTTTATCCTATTTGATATTTAACATATTAAGCAGGAACTTAAACTGTTTACTTACTGATCTGACACGAAGACTTTAATACTGTCCCTAGAATGAGTCTTGTACACTTTAAAAAAAAAATACGAATCATAGGAGTGTATTTGTACAATGCACCACCAAATTTAAAAATTACACCAGGGAAGCCCTTAACTAGCAAATTTTAATGGGTAATGAACAGGTTGGATTAGGAATAGTGAGAAAAATAAAATTCCATGCTGCAATCAAATAAAATAATACCATGCCAGTGATTTAGGGAAAGGCCAATAAGAAAATGTGGTCCCCCAAAACATATTACTAAAAAAAGCAAGTCAATCAACATGCCCTACCAAGAACTGCAAGATTCTAAATTTGGGGCAATTTAATCAGTCAGTTACCAAAACATAAAACTGGTGGTTAACACAAACTAGACTTTACTTATTATAATTAAGAGTGTCTTTTCAATCTGTTATATAAACATGACCTTATTTCCTTGTTTACAAAATCTTAGCCTCCTCTGTTGAAAATTGAGAATATATAACTAAGTAAGCTTTTATGTAATAATTAAATTGATGAAACTATTATATTAATTGATTATTTAAAGGAATAACGTATATTAGCAGACTTAAAACTATATACACATATTAAAAACTATATACATATATTATGTACATGTCTGATACGTACACATATGCATATAGAGAGATTTGTTGTTATTTAATGAATCTAAGAAAGTGATGCATGATAGAAATCTAGTATTTTTCAGTAAAAGTAGTCATGAAACAGGGCTTCCCTGGTGGCGCAGTGGTTGAGAGTCTGCCAGCCGATGCAGGGGACACGGGTTCGTGCCCCGGTCCGGGAAGATCCCACATGCCGCGGAGCGGCTGGGCCTGTGAGCCATGGCCGCTGAGCCTGCGCATCCGTAGGCTGTGCTCCGCAACGGGAGAGGCCACAACAGTGAGAGGCCCGCGAACCGGCGGGGCGGGGCGGGAAGGGGGAAGACCGCAGGAAAACTTTTTAGGAATGCAAGTGCATGTATCATGAATCTAAAACATTACCTTAGATTAAAAACAAATTCATGGACTTCCCTGGTGGCGCAGTGGTTAAGAATCCGCCTGCCAATGCAGGGGACACGGGTTCGATCCACGGTCCGGGGAGACCCCACATGCCGCGGAGCGACTAAGCCCGTGAGCCACAACTACTGAAGCCCGCGTGCCTAGAGCCCGTGCCCCGCAACAAGAGAAGCCGCTGCAATGAGAAGCCTGCGCACCGCAATGAAGAGTAGCCCCCGCTCACTACAACTAGAGAAAGCCCGCGTGCAGCAACGAAGACCCAACGCAGCCAAAAATAAATACATAAATAAATAAATTAAAAAACAAAAACAAAAAACCCCCAAATTCATGACTATTGTTTTTCACGCACTTTTATTATAAAGATTAATTTTTATTTTAATGTGATAAAGATCATAATGATAGTGACTTCAGTTTTTACTGATACCAGGAGACCAAGTTAATTTAAGCTTATGTGCTGACATTATTAAGGCAAAAGGTTATACCAAAAATAATTTATAATACATATAGTTGAGATCACATGGAAAACATTAAAACTCCGTG